CCAAACAATAATGTATACTGGTCAACGTCGCGCCTAAATTATCGTTGTTCGTTTAAGAATTCATTACTTCTCATAAATTCTCTAATATACAACGCGTTGATTATAGTCTACAAATCAACTACTTTTTGTAAATTCTCTAATACATAAATTTTAAACTACAAACCTTTTACCTCTCAGAAACGTAAAACAAATACGGGATTCAAACTTTCGAGCTTTTTGAGCTAATCCATGGAATATAATGTTTTTCAAAGATTCGAAACATTGGATAGATATAATATAATTTTATTGTAAAACATATTACGGAAAAACTGTAACTACGAGATTAAAACAACCACAACCGTACAAATATGGACAGAAATATGTAGAAAATTGTGTATTAAACCTGGTTTTATAGCTAGCTAAACCTCTCACTTGTATAACAGTCGCATAAAATTCCATTATATTGACAACGATGTGTGAACAAAACAAACAGACATAATAGGTAAAAATGTCAAAAATAAGGGCACAGCAGTCAACATTGTGTTATCATCTTTATCACTACAAAAACAAGCAAATATGTCAACAAAGACAAACAAAAAGGCATATAGACAAGCACATTAGCAAAAATGAAAGACAAGAATACAACAATTTACCATAGCACAACATCGCAATGACGGGAAGTACAAGTACCGAGCCACGTCAAATGGATACTGCCAAAAATAGGCTAAACACTAAAAGTAATAAATTACAAAGACAAATAAAAGAATACTATAACACGTTATTAAGATGATAAACAACGTCAGTACCTAGAATCTATACTTCAAGACCATCGTATTTGTGAAGTTGAAACGGAATAATTATCAACAAGGTCTTGGTATCTTCCGATGAACGTTTTTAGAAAAAGGACGAGACGTTCTTTGACATACCTTTGGTTCATCAACTTTCTGCTCAGATACTGGTGACGTTTTACAGAGTCTGAGTAGCAGCTGCAAGCTCTTGAATACCGAATGAGTTGGGAAATGTATATCCCATATGCAGGTGAGGTTGGTATATTGCTACTAAGGTGGGGGAAATTGATGATTTCAAAATTAATATCGTCTCGTTTGTCATAGATTCCGGTACTGGGATGACTGCTTATGTCAAAATCGAGGTATGAGTCTAAAAATGAGGCAGAGGAAGCCGTGTTTGTTGTTTCTTTAATTTCTAGTTCTGGAGGATATAGTAATGGAACCCAATCAAAAAAGTTTGGATTGTTGATGGAAAGAACATCTTCATCAATATATCTGAATGTGAAATTAAATGATCTGGCTTCTTTGATCTTCTTGTTTTTGACAAGTGTCTGAAGGAACTCCGACTCATATGTACCACGTCGCAGAAAAAGTTTTATCAATATTGAGTGCACAGTAGTCAATTTTATTTTAAATTCAACACTATTAAATATAATGAATGAGCACACTTGAAGAGATAACAAGCGTGAATTCAAAGCAATTTAAATTATTTTGCTACTCATCAAAATCCGCCCCCCCCTCTTATGTATATTATTTCAATGAATTTAAAGACAATTATGATCCAAATGTTATATCTTTTACTTGCAAAAAAAGTTTAAATATTTTAATTCTTTGCAATGAAATATCCGGATATCAAGACATCGATCAAACGTATTCACCTAGTACTATATATGAAAAAAGAAATCTTGATTCATAATTTTCCCGTATAACGAAGGCCTCTTCTTTTTCTTCCTCGTTCACAAAAATTGACCTTTACACGGCGGTTGTCTTGGAAACAGTTATTGTTTGCCGGACCGGACCACCAGGATACCTCAGGACCCCCTCTCTTTCTCCGTTCTTATTAAGGTTCCACAAGGTTCGTGTCGCTCATTATTTTAGATTATTTACGTGTCCTTTTTTCCCTTCATGTTCTCGATATATATTTTGGTCCCTCGGTTTCCCTTTACAAACAATGCTTTGTTTTTTCTTTTTTGCAAAACAAAGCATTGTAAGTGTACATGTCCTTGTTTTTGTGCTTCATGTTTATTTATTGTACTCTTCATTGTTCACTCATTTCAATACAGGAAAGAGTTTTATGATGAAATTTATACAACACAATTACAAACTGTATAACAAACATATGATTAAATCTAGCACTTACGTTTATTTAATTTTAAGAGACTACATCGGTTTCTAAAAAATAACAATCGCAAAGAACAAAGTGCGAATCGGACACACGATTGATTTCTTTTACCTGTGGTAACGTGTTCTGTTTTTTCTGTTTTTTATAATCGACGTCGTTAATAATCAAAATTTTGTATTATATTCCTGTACCACCAGATTTGTTTAATTGAAAAATTAGCAAATCAACGCCAGTGCGTGAAATATATAAAAATTGCCCCCTAGTTCATGAAGCAAGTTCTCGATTTGCACTTTGTTCACAGGGCGAAGTTTTTGCTATTGATCAAATTGTTCATTAGCTATTTTGTCTAAGGAACAATATGTGGTTTGCACATCAGCACTTATGAAAACATCTACTTTAGACGAACGATTTCACCTAAATATGATAATAGAATTATTTTACTTTGTGGCCCTCGTATTGCGACATGATCTATCAAGCGTTAGAAGCATTACTTTATTATTTTCATGTTATTGCAGCTGAAAATGATGTAAGGAAAATACAGATGTCGATTTTTATATCCAAAGACGGAGGAGGATATCAAAAAGCTTGTGCTAAAAGAAATACCTTAAAGCACCAAAAACATAACTAACAAGGAGCATTGTCAATCACATTGGTGCTAAAGAAGACAACCATAAACATGACAAAAATGGCAGTGAAATAGTATTGATGCTGGCAGTTAGACAATCAATTTGAATTTATCAAGAAACCGCCTTGATGAGTGTCGAAATTATTGTATCCGAAAGTGAACCAAATAAAAAATGTTTTGATGTAATTGTCATGTGTTCTTTCGTTGTTAATTTTTGTTAAAAAGATGAAATTCATTGTGTGAATTGATGGATTTTTTCAGTCTTTGAACCATTATTTACCTTTAAAATCAATTGTGTTACCTCAAGCTGTCCAATATTTTTAAGAAAGACGAGGGTTATTCTTAAAAATATTGGTCAGTTAAAAGTTTCTTACAGGTAAATGATAGTCCAATCACTTAAATAAAGAACGGATACAACAAAAGGATGACGTCACAACAATGTTTCAATAATCAAAGTGGAATGTACCTTATTAATTGCATTCAAAGATTACAGACCTCCAAGATAAATTCGAAAAGGGGGAAGTCCATAAATCCTCACAAAAAAACCAAAACGCTAGACTATTTCTACCAACGGAACGAATGGAAAACAAGTGTGACATTCTGTGACTTTGTAATGGTATTTACGAAGCACGACATTTTTATCAATGCAAAATTTAATACTTGGATACAAAATTCATGACAGTTCATATTTTGATATTAATGTGTTGTTAACAATTGTTTTATTTGCTGTTTACAAAAGTAATTATGCATCAGAGAGATGTATATAGGGTTTTTAAATTAGAATTCTTAGAATGGTATGAAAATAGTATACTCTTAGAAAGAAAATGTAGTAAATTTTTGAAAGATACATTTAAATATATCTAATTAACCGCAATGTAAATCAATAGGAGAGGTGTGCAAGTACTCATGGTTGAGTAGTTGTGTGACAGGGAGTGTGTGTGTGCAAGTTTTGTGACCAAGTTTTTGTGTAGGTATATGTGTGTGTCTCTGTTTATGTGAAAGTTAAGACATAATACTCGTAGAGCAATACTATGTTTCTCATTTATGTTTTATGTATACTGTTTCTCTGTTTACACGAAGTATCAACAAAAACTCATTCTTTATTCATGTTTTTGATCATGTTAACCTACCATCAGAATGTCATCAATGATTGATATATACTCATAATGCTTCAAGTTTTCAGTATTCTGTAGCGCGTACAAGTTATCGTTAAAGAAAACAAAACAGTTATTTCATTAAATTTAAAACTTACCAAATAAGTTAAGAATATTCCAACACACAAGAATGAATAAAATACACGTGTTCGAGATACATAATAAACATCTATACCACGTGATATACAATTAAAATAAGTAGAAAAACGTAAACAGAGAGAACGTATGTTTTCCGGATTTGTCGCTATGCAGATTTTGTAACCTATATCTATTGTAATATTCTATTTACCACTTTTAAAACTTATAATAAGTTTATCTTGTGAATCCCCTGGTTCATTTGATAATTCACACACAGGGATAAACCTATTTGGGATAGTTGTACCTTTTAGGGTATTTGGTAACAACCAATTGTGCAATAAACTGAATAATTATTAAAAAAAAAAAAAAAACGAAGCACGACACAATCATAAAATGCCTAAATGAAATTGAAAATACCTGAGTTACCGCCATATGTTTTTGTTTTTCTTATAAAATGTTTTACTTTGATTTTGCTTTCTATTTGATTATTATTTTAAATATTTTTATTGAAATATTTTTAATCACTTTCAGTTAACATTATGGGATGTTTGACGTGTTATAATAAAGTTGAAGAATTCATTGGAACCAAATTTGAAAGTTATGCCGGATTTGTTTGTAAGCATCCATGGAAATTTATTTTTATTCCATTGATAGCAAATGGCCTTTTAGGAATAGGTTTGGTTAATCTAAAAAGTGATAACGATGTCGAGCGCATCTATACGCCGATCAATAGTCAGGCGTCAAAAGACAGATCAACTCTTCGAAAGATATTTGGAGATTTTTCTGCCAACAATTTCTATACGCAAAGCCAGATTGAATCGGGAATCTATGGTGACATTATATTTGAAGCAAAACAAGGAAGAAATATTTTGGGTAACATATACTTATCAGAAATGAAAAAAGTCTTTGATATGATATCATCATTGCAGTTTACAGACAGCTTTGGTTCGTTATCTAATTTGTCGAAAGTGTGTGCAAAAAGGGACAATGCATGCGTAGTTGACGGCCAAATCATCTTCAATCCCTGGTTTCAGTCCAACCTCAGTGCTAATACCATTCCTTATCCTGGATCGGGGGCTTTTTCCTTGCAAGGAACTTTTGGTGATGTTATTGTTTCAAATGGTATTCTGACAAATGCATCGTTCATAAAGCTGCGATATCATCTCAAACATGAAACCAAAACAAATAAAGACGACAACATTTTGTGGATGGCTTCTTATATCAACAAAATGAAAAAAATAACTACGAACCATACTAACATATATTATGCACACTCTGAATCGTTAGACGAGGAGCTTAATGCAAATATTGGGGGAGACATAGTATTTTTTTCTTTAACGTTCACCCTGATGATTGTTTATGCTACAACAGCTACATCGAATTATAAGTGCGTTTCTGACAGACAGAACCTTGGTCGAGCAGGAGTTTTAGCGGCGGCATTTGCTATTCTTGGATCTTTTGGACTTATTGCTGCCTGTGGATTAGAATTTGTCAGCATTGTTGGTACAATGCCATTTCTTATTATTGGTAACACCTTTAATATCATAACACTGCTACCTTTCTAGAACATACATTCCCGCTTTGGTGTGTTTGTCACATTTATTCTCTATTCAATATTTTTACTCAAACTCGAAAAAACAGGCTCTTTTTCTACATTAAACCTACATTAGTTTGTCATTATGTATCAAAATTTGCAGTATTTTTAGATCCTTATATAAATTATGTCACTCAGATATATGCATCGGGCTTCAATTACTTCCTTTTTTTACTCTTGACTGAAACATTTTCTGTTATGTCACTTCTTTCTAAATAATATTCCTCTGTTCATGCTAGAACCAAAGTACTAAATAAATGGACATGTTTTTACCATACTGACAATATAACTATCTATCAGTTAACCAAGTGTCAATAACAACAAGGTTTCTCTGAGCTGCTGAAGGAAACCAAACTAATATTTAAAACAAAAGAAGGGTGGCATTTTAATTATGGCTGCGTCCTATCCAAAATCTGTCTATCCGTTTTTGATCAATTTGTTTATATTAAGGGTAACGTTGTTTTGGGTTAGGATAATGTCCCAGTAAGTTGGGGTCACGATAATTTACTGGTTATCATGACAGGAACTTTTGAATGCTAGATAACAGTTTCGATGTCGTGAAAATGTACATGTGAAACCAATACATTCTTAAAGCTTTTGGTTAAGAGATTCAGATGGTTGATTTATATTTAACTTTTGTTTAATGATAACAGTCACATAACTCTTTTTTTTTTATGGAACACATGAAAAATAGATAAAATTGGGTCCATAAATCATCTGGTAATTCTACGTTTTACCAATTGCAATAACATTCTTAATACCATGTTTGTCGAAAGAAGTAACAGGTTGTACATCAACCTATAAAAGGAAAGAGAGAATACATTGTATAGTATCTGGAAAATGATTGAAAATTAGGAGCCAACCAAGCATCTTTAATCACAATAATATTTCAGTTCATTTTTTCTGAAGCAACAAATAAGTAGTTAGTTCCAAAATTTAGTAATGAAATCATTTTTTTCCATCAGATCTTATCATCACAAATATTTTGTTTTCTTATAATCTATATTCAACATAACGAAATGTTTTATATGGGATTGAAAAAGTATATAATATTTTATTCATTTGAATAGGTATTGGTGTTGATGACATGTTTTTGCTGTTATCTGGTCTTGCAGAAACATATGATTGCAAAACTGCACTAGAACCGGAAGATCGTATAAAGAAGACATTGCGATCCAGCGGTGTAGGAATAACCATAACCTCTTTGACAGACTTGATAGCTTTTCTTGTTGGTGCATCGTCGTCTTTCATAAGCGTCAGAAATTTTTGCATATACACAGGTTTGTTTTCATTTAATAACCGTGCCTCCAGGCCAAATTTTTTTGGCGTCTTTATTGCTTACCATCATGCCATTTCATATTTTAAAATGTAATGTCGAAATGTACAGTGCTGCATGAATTTACTTGAATAGTTTGATATAATATAGTGGCTGAATGGTAAATAAAGATCATATTTTAGTTCCGTTTTGCTTTTAGACATTCATCTTATACATTCCACAAAGAATATAATTGTTCTTGGCATTTTTCTAGTCATGTCTTCTACATTGTTGTTTGATGGTGAGTCACACATGATTGTCAATAAGAAATCTATCTATAATGAGTAAGAGATTGTGGATGCAAGTAACAATCAGTAACTTTACGGATTTCAACAACTATCAAAACCAATACCGCATAATAAAATATAAAAAAAACATAATGAAACAATGCAAGCAAGAAAAATCGTACGGCCTGAATTTTGACAAGAAAATAGTCAAAAGACAATTACCGACGACAACCACTAAATTATAAGCTCCTGACTTGAGGTAGGCACATAACGAATATGGCTGCTGTTTGTGAGGGCCTGACCCTCCTACAACTAAGACAGTGGTGAAACAGCTAGAACAATCAGTTTGAAGGATTTGACTCATCAGATCGGCACGATGCACTCAAAAACAAATAACAGAACTACAAAAGATACAACTTTCTGATCTAAGAGTACTCGCAGTTACTGAAAGCTAGTTCTGGTCTTATTACAATTAATAAATAAATCATATCTTCACGGACAAGAATATCAATCAGTACACATCCAACGAAATCAGTTTAATACGCCACAAAAAGTCTTTTAACGGAATAGTACATCCTAATTTTTACGGATATGTTGTTTATTGAGCTCAGAAAATTGGATACGATGCGGGTGAATTTATCGATTCTTTAATTAAACTTATTTTAAAAGTTTACTAATCAACACTTTAATATGATCTTTGAATATTGTTTTTTTATGTTCCTATTAATTTTGATGTCAGTAAATTAAAATCAAACTAAATATTTTTTTCATATACATATGCACATTCATGGCTCTACAATCTATCGATTATTATATCTTGACATTGCACAAGGTCATACATTTCTCTGAGTGTAAATGACGTCTTTACTCTAAATTCAGTGGATGTTGGATGTGTACTGATTGATAGTTTAGTCTTAGATGCTTGATGTTTTTAGTAGTTGTTGTTGGCTTTAAACAAGCTGTCAGTAACTGCGAGTACTCTCAGATCTGTACTTAGTGTTTTTTTTGTTGTTGTGTGGATTTAAAAGTACCCAGCCACGTCCACTCTGTGTTTTTGTTAGATGTTTTTCTGCTGTGAGTTTTTCTGCTTTGTATCGATCTGACGAGTTAAGCCCTTTTCAATTGATTTTTATAGTTTGTTTTTATCTCGTACTGTTACACCAATGTCTCAGGTTAGGGGTATGGTTGGTGCGCCTTTAAACTAGTTTTACCCCACCACACTCTGTATTTGCCTGTCCCAAGTCAGAACCCTGTAATTCAGTTGTAATGCAATATGAGCACAAGAGTTACTAATCCTTTCAAAAATCAGGATGTTGTGGATGCTTTATCCTCTTTGCATGACAAATATGTCGTTGTTCCAGCAGATAAAGCCTCCAATAATATTGTCTTCATATGTAAAAATCATTATTTGCAATGTCTCACAACAGAGATTTGAATAAATAGAACTACTGGTAACCCTACATATTCTTTAACATCATTTACCAAGGACGAAATTTTACAAAATCACAAATCTGTCCTTTCTTTTGGTATCAACATCAAAGAAAACGAAGAAAATTTCCCATCATTATACTGGATACCAAAACTACACAAAACTCCATATAAAGAACGATACATAGCTGGGTCATCAAAATGTTTGACTAAACATCTTTCTAAAGTACTGACTACTATTCTTTCTACAGTTAAAGATGGGCTTCAAAAATATTGTGATGAGATATATTCTACCAGTGGTGTTAACCAGATGTGGATTCTCAAAAATTCGAAAGATCTACTGCTTAATCTTCGATCACAATCTTTGCAATTTTGCAGCAACATAAAGACTTTTGATTTTTCTACGCTTTACACTACTATTCCCCATGCTCAGTTGAAAGATCGACTTCACCATCTCCTTAAACAGAGCTTTTTCTATAAAAATGGGAATCGTAGATACAAATTTCTTGTTTTGGGTTACAATAATTCATATTTTGTGAAAAACCACACTGAATCTACCAGAAAATATACTGAAGATGATATTATCAAAATGCTGGACTTTTTGATCGACAATATATTTGTTGAGTTTGGAGGATTTATATTTCAACAGACAGTCGGTATTCCAATGGGAACTAATTGTGCACCCCTACTGGCCGATTTGTTTTTGTACTCGTATGAAGCAGAATTCATTCAGAACCTTCTAAAAGACAAAAAGAAAAAGCACCTTGCGAAATTCTTTTCTTTTCGATATATTGATGATGTTCTATCATTAAATTACACATATTTCAGCCAATATTTACATCTCATATATCCAAGTGAACTTGAAATTAAGGATACTACTGATACTAGAAGGACTGCTTCATACCTTGATCTTTTCCTCAATATTGACACAGATGGACGACTTCACACGAAAATCTATGATAAACGGGACGATTTCAACTTCCCAATTATCAATTTCCCATTTCTCAGCAGTAACATACCCTCTGCCCCTTCGTATGGTGTTTACATATCTCAATTGATACGTTATTCTCGTGCTTGTTCACACTATACGGACTTCATATACAGGAGTGTGCTCCTTACGCAGAAACTGCTCCAACAAAGTTATGAGGAGGACAGATTAAAAATGACACTCCGTAAATTTTACGGACATCATCACGTATTGGTTGATCCATACGATGTGTCTTTGTCCAAACTAACTAAGGACATTTTAACCACGTGTTAGATTGTGGTTTTTCATTACGTCGTCTGATCTTTTAATTACCGAACGTGACTTATTCCCGATTGTGACTGTTTTGCTTTAGTGTGAAACCGCATTGCAATAAGACGTGTCACGGTACTTTTCTATCCCAAATTCATGTATTTAATTTTGATGTTATATTTGTTATTCTCGTCGGATTTTGTCAAATGTCTTAACGTCTTTTCTGTTATATACGTGTGTTATGGTAAAGATTAAATAATCATCCCCTCCTTTAATTAGATTTTAGTTTGATTCAACGAAATGTATACGATATATTTGGTTTACAGTTTGATTCAGAAGAAACACCGACATAGCTAGATAATACAATTAATTATCTAATTTCTACCACAATTTGATATTAATAAGTATTGTAATTTTCATTGTTATTAATAAATATAATGTCAGTATTACAAATCTAATCTTGAATCAATCCTAATCCTTTCTTATTTTTGGGAAATATTTTTACAAATTCAAATGTGACGTCACTTTGTGTTTTTTTAGAATTTCAAATGTGACGTCACTTTGTGCGTTGAGGCTTTGGCTAACTCGGCTGTGTATTTTTATGTGTTGGATTAAGTTGTTATATGTAATGTATCCGTTTTTATTCTGTAGTTAGTCCCCACTTCGGTTTTATCATGTATATCTATTATATAGTCATTTTATAAAATTTAATTTACTGTTTGCAAAATTATAAATTATTCTAAATAATAAGGATGTTCTTGTCCTAGACAGAAAACCCTGGTCGTGTTAGGCGCAACCTTTTGGAAGTTTTGGTCCTCGGTGCTCTTCAGCTTTGTACTTGTTTTGGCTTTCAAACTTTTTTCATCTGAGCGTCACTGGTTGGTCTTGTGTGGACGAGACGCACGTCTGGCGTATTGATTTTTAAGCCTAGTACCTTTTGTTAGCTATTATTCGTGTGTTTCTTTGTCCTATATGTTCTCCCATTTATTTGTATTGTGGTCCTGTCATGTGATGTTGTCGTGTTGGTGTTGTGTTTGACGTTGTCATAAAAGCGGGAGGTTTAGCATGCCACAAAACCAGGTTCAGCCCACCATTTTTTTCTTAAAATGTCCTGGACCAAGTCAGGAAAATGGCCATTGTTATATTATAGTTCGTTTCTGTGTGTGTTACATTTAAATGTTGTGTTTTTGTTGTGTCGTTGTTCTCCTTTTATATTTGATGCGTTTCCCTCAGTTTAAATTTGTAACCCGGATTTGTTTTTATCTCTATCGATTTATGAGTTTTGAACAGCGGTATACTACTGTTGTCTTTATTTATCGCTTGTTGCTGTATATCATATTTGTTTTTCATTCATAATTTTGTAGAAAAATCAGGCCGTTAGTTTTTTCGTTTGAATTGTTATATATTTGTCATTGCGGGACCTTTTATAGCTGACTATGCTGTATGGGTTTGACTCATTTTTCGAAGGCCGTACAGTGATCTACAGTTGTAAATTGTTGTATGTGTCATTTGGTCTCTGGTGGAGAGTTGTCTCATTGGCAATCATACATCATCTTCTTAGTGTCATAGTAATTGCTTCATGATACTTGCAATAACTTGCAATAACTTTTTATTCAAGCACTTTATTTTATTCAATACTAAATAATTACAAATTTCATTTTCAGGTATTGCCGTCCTGTTTTGTTATCTGAATTATGTTACGTTTTTTGTTGGTTGTATGGTGATCCACGAGAAACGTGTTTCTTTAAGCCGTCATGCTTGTACATGTCAACTTATATCCCCAAGCAAAAAGGAGGAAAGAAGTAATTGTCTACAAGGCCAACCATACAGTTGTATGTGTACTGGATCAATACCAACAAAGCGAAGTGAAGTTGAAGGGCCATTTGAAAAATATCCACCTAAAATTATATCTCGCTTAGTACTTAAAAAACCGATTAAAGTAATCATTCTTGTGGGATTTGCAGCTTATTTGGGCATTTCAATTTGGGGTGCTACCAAGTTTCAACAAGGCCTTACACTTAATGATTTGGTAACGGAGGACTCTTATTATTACAGTTACAGTCAATTGAATGAAAAATATTTTTCATCAAGCTTTGCAATTTCTGTTAACATTCCAAACACTTTGAAATATTCTGATGATCAGACTTGGAATAAGATATTGACACTTCAAACCTTGCTACAACAAGATGAAAGAGTAGAAAATAACTTACGTTTAAATTGGCTTGCAGAATTTAGAAATTCAACTTCTTACGACAATTCATCGGAAATCAATTTTATTTCGGCATTACGTTCAAGTTTCTTACCTATGATGCAACATTTCAAAAATGATATAAAGTTTGATACTTTCAATTCAACGATTGTTGCTTCCAGATTTTACGTTTTCTCCTTTAACGTCGAAGATTCTGCTGACCAAGGAGAGTTGATGAAAAGGGTTAGAAAGACAGCTTCTTCCTCTGTTATACCAGTGGCTATCGTATATTCTCCTGCTTTCATCTTTTTTGAACAATATGTAGCTATTTTACCAAATACCCTTCAAACTCTCGGTATTGCAACTGTTGTTATTTTCATAGTAACGGCTATCTTTTTGCCTCATCCGGTACTTGTTCTCTTTGTCACGTTGACATTGGCAATGATCCTTGTAGGGTTGATTGGTTTTATGCATTTTTGGGGCCTCACATTAAGCTCAATCACAATGATCCATATCATTATGAGCGTCGGTTTTTCAGTCGATTTTAGTGCACATGTGTGTCACGGCTTCATGGAATCGGCTAAATCAAATAGAGACGATGGGGCAAAGGGAGCCATAGTAAGAGCTGGTGGGCCAATATTCAATGGTGCAGTCTCTTCTATTTTAGGTATTATAATGCTGTCATTTTCAAATTCGTTCATTTTTCGATCTTTTTTTAAAGTTATGTTACTGATAGTTTTGTTTGGGGCAGCGCATTCTCTTTTGTTTTTACCTGTTATTCTATCATTGTGTGGCCCAAAATTTAGAAATAACGGTAATCAGAAAAACTTATCGCTACAAGCAGAAAATGGAAACAAAAATCAGTCAAGTAGCAATATGAAGACTTCTTACAAGAACGAGGCATTTGGTAGCGAATTGTCTATGACAAATACAAATTCTGAGCATGGAATAGAGTTAACCAAAATGCAGCCAAGGAAACTTCCTACTCTCCCGCCAATTTCGCATAAGCATTGATTACTACGTCTTAACTTTTGATGAATGTTGATGGCGGAACTATACGTTTACTGTGTTTTAGACGTTATTTGTGTGCAAATCGTTCTTGAAAAATAATTTAGCGCGACCATATAAATCATTTTAGTGAAAATTGATGAATCAAATCCATTTTATTTCCCACTGTTTAAAAAATGTATGGAACATGTTAATCGCATTGTTTGTTTTTGTAGTCGCTGGAGGTATCAATACAAAACAAAATCTAAATTTCAAATTAAATGTAACGATAAAATACAACCTGGTCATTAAAATTCAATGATGATGTATTACCTTCTAGTCATGTACTCTCATTCTATCTTTTTTGGTTGAGACCTTTCTTTTATTTAAATATTTTAAACTTCATGTGCCATCCTAGCGTCATTTTTAAACGCGCCTGGTCTGTCGTCCTGCACATAAAATGTTTATTCAAGAAAAATGTTTTTGAGAACAAATAGTTGTAGAAATATTTTAGATCCCGGAAATATGCTACACTACACAATTTGAGTGGGATTTTTCAAAGGATATATATGGAATATTGTCCCAAAATCTTAATGTTATGCTCGACATATTTGTTTCCTCAGATTTGTAACAAGCAATTTTAAATGCGCGAAAGATCCTTTCCAATCATTGGATGAAAAAAATCTGGATGTTCTTGATATTGAAAGAAGAAATGTATTTTGTAAAACAATTTTGATATTGTTCTGTCTAAGTTATATGTGTATTAAAAGCAATGATTATATTTGCTGTTAACATACTTCTAATACGATTACGAATACTTTATTTGACCAATCATAAGTCCAAATTTATCTATTTAACCTTATTATAAACATTATTTGGCATCCGGTATAAATTGCGTTGCAAAGTGGATGTTAAAGATAATAACATAGTTATAAGAACTACATTTTTTCATGTTAAAACGATTATGAATATTTAATCCTGATTACAGATTGGATAAGCATAGGAATAGTTTTCGAACTGTAATTGCTATACCATTGAGTTTTAGCCGTAATTTTGTTCACCTTTTAAATCAAATTTACAGCAAGAGTAGAATATCTTATCCACTTGATTGTTACTGCATGTAGATTTATAGTTATTTATTGTATTCAACCACCTTTTTATTATCATATGTTGTCCCTTTTGAAATAGAATCTTTGAAAATGTCTTGATTTGTATTACGTCGAATGCGTTTTTGTCGTTTATTAAATCAGTTAATATCATCTGACTATAAGGATGCAAACTGATCACTCAACGTTTCAGCTGTGTAATGTTTACGTTAGTAGTTGTCACATCCTCACCAACAAAATTTTGGAAGAGATATGCGTACTTGTCCTGGGTTAATTTTTAGTTTTAAGAGTTAAAGGGGTTTACTTGTGTTTAATACTGGGATTGTATGGTTGATCTTGCATTGTGACATATTTTGTTAAAGAAATTGACCATTATTGGTAAAAGGTTTATGAATAGTTTTGCTGTATAATTCGCAAGAAACCTTTCCGAACTAATTTCATTCTAGCATCATCATCCGAAACCCCTGATTTATAATTGATACCTTATTTTTCAATCTCACACAAATCTTCATGTTCAGTTGAGTCTGAACTGTTATACTACGTGTTTAAAAGAATGCTGTTAATAAGTTGATTTCACAATATTGCTTAATTTTTCAAGACCATCCGAGAGCTAATTGTGTTTCAATACGACAAAAAACCTAGCGCATTTCAGTTCATTATCATATCATAAAAAATGATAACCATGCCATAGACTGCGTTTGTTTAATTTTTAGCTACCCTCTCTATCACTTATATTAATTTGGGAATCATTTAAGTTTCTCTTTTCCTCGCATTCATTGTGTTAATCAATTATTTGTATGTTTTTTTTTAAATTTCGGATTAACCTGATTTTGTAATTTTTGAAGGATTTGATTGTACTAGTAATAAAACTTCATTTTAAGAATAATCTATCACATATATTATGTATGTATTAGTATTCAATAAAGAATGAATCAGCTTTTTATTACTATGCACGCTATATCATCGGCCATAATTTGTTGATGGTTAATGCTATGCTGCCATTAAAAAGCAGAAAAGCCCAACCTAATATAATTCAAGTGAAATTTATTTTCGCAAGATGTTGATAAAAACAAAATAAATATGTAGAACGGCATGGCTTCGGATCTGCAGATTGAGATGATGGATCTTGAGAAAATTCTTTGATACAATACAATTTGCTATATGTGTCTTTGTTATACCTATTATGACGATATTTGAAATTTCAATGTTTTCCGTATTCTAGTGTTTATTGTAATATCTTTTTTAGGTATTGTTAGGCTACTTTTCTTGATTAAAATTGGGGAGAGTTGAGATCTTAGAAGACTAATTTTACTCCACCAGATTTTCATCTGAATGCCTCCCCCCTCCCCAACTTAACCCCTCCAATTTGTGTTAGGCAAAAAAAGTATCAAAATGTATTTTGGTTTTTGAAGAAATGAGTTAATGGCAGGTTATTGATTCTCGATGTTAAATTTATATACATCTGTTATTAATTCGCGACGATATTAAAGACACCTCTTTTAGTTATTCTTGTCGCTAGTTGTCTCTTTGACTTATTCCCCATGTCTCCTTTTATTCCTTTGGAATGGAGTAAATATTGAACTGTCGTAGAATTACACATATCAAGATAGTTATAATTTATATAAGTCAACGTATAAAAAATATTGTTATTAAGACAACCGGGATCGTCTTAACACCAAACAGATTATTAGTTGCTTCACAAAAACTATTATGATTATACATCAATGCAATATGGTTGCAATGATAACATCAAAGGAGTAGGGAAATTTGTCAGCCTGCAGTGATGTAAATGCTTTAGGCTTATTCAATACTTACTAAAGACATAATCATAGTCTTGGGCAAAAACATTACCATCGGCCTAATGTAAAAAAAGTCTTCCAAATCTAGATAGCTCTCTTGAAGCTTTGATTACCTTCTTTCACATCTTCATCATCCATTAGGGTTACATTACATTAGAAGTTTTCTATTTCATTACCTGTTAGTTTTAAAATGTTTGAGGGATTATGCACTTGACAAGGGGTGCATAAATACCTCGTTTTCAGAGAAAAAGAAGCTGTGAAATGTCTATCATCTTTCACGATAAATGGGTTGTAGTTTCTGCGGAAAAAGCGGTAAATGATATTGCTTTTGTGTGTAAACCGTACGAGTGTCTTGTAAAAGAATAAGGAATAAATGAGCACTCAGCTTATCCCACATACAAAAACATTTAATTTGACAGGGAAGAGATTTTGGCGAATAATAGGTGATTCGTGGCTTTAATGATCATTACATTGACCAGCAAACCTGATGACTTACCTCGTTTGATTTGGTAACATCAGCTTCACAAAAATTCGTACAATTCGGTACATTGCCGGCTCATGTGCATGTTCTATAATGGAATTGTCCATCAGATTGACAAAAAGTATGTCCGCAGTGAAAAAAGAACTTCGTCGTCTCAGTACCCGCATATATGACGAGATGAGACGATTTTAATTTGGAGTTATAAAATTTCTCCCACCTTAGAAGCAATATATCAACTTCAACTGCTTATGGGATATATATTTCCCAACCTCGTTCGGTATTCAAGACCTTGCAGCTGCCACTCAGACTTTATAAAACGTTTCCAGTGTGTGAGCAGAAAGTTGAAGAACCAGGGTTTCGTCAAAGAACGTCTCGTCCTTTTCCTAATAAATTCATCGGGAGATACCAAGACCTTGTTGATAAATATTCCGTATCAACTTCAGAAATATAACATGATGGTCTAGAAGTATAGCTTCTAGCTACTGTCGTTGTTCTAATAACGTGTTAAAGTTTGGTTTTTTTTTTCATTTGTCTTTGTATATTTTTAACCTTTACTGTTTAGTCCATTTTTGGTAATATTCTTTTGGCGTGGCTCGGTATTTATACATCCCGCCATTGTGTTATTGTCCTATGGTGATTCTTTGTTTTCTTGTATTTCAGTTTTTGGCCATGTGGTTTGTCTATAGAGTGTCTATATGCCATTTTGGTTTTCTTTGTTGACATAGTTCTTTGTTTCAACAATGATTTAGATTTGAACACAATTTTGACTGCTGTACCCCAAGTCTACAACAATGAAACCATTTTACAGTTGAAACTTTGTCGATGACCAAAAGAGGAGGATGATAATAAGAGGATATTCAAAAGTCTAGACAAAACGAGAACGCCATAACGAAATGGAAAAACGACGAAAAAGAGTCAAGGAAAAGAGGTTTGGCTTGTGGCTACGACAGTTGAAATATATCATTCGTCATCTGTTACACAGCTGTTCTAAAACGGTCAACATGCTCGTGATGGTTTCCATAAACCTGCGATGAGATCACTTCAACTTAGGTCTTGGAAAAAATACCCAACAAACCAAAGGGACTTTTAAACTTAAAAGTCATTAACAAACTGACAACGCCATTCAGAAAAAAAAGACAAAGACCAAAATACGATCAACAACACCCAACACAACACAGAAAACTATAGATTTAACTCAACGAACCATACCAAACAATAGGGGTGATCTCTGGTGTTCAGGAAGAGAAAGTAGATCCTGCTACACATGTGGCATCCGTAATGTTGCTCATGTAAGTTCAAACTCAGTGATAAGTCTAATTCGGTAGGTCACATTCGGCGAAAAGGGGCGGGATTGTGAGCAACAAACCTCTACCAAGAATATCATAATAGGAAATATAAGCCCATGAATATCGTATCAAGTAGAAGATATGTACTCCATATGCAGGCGCTGCTGGAATGTTGCTACATAGAAATGGAAAGTTCACAGTCAGGAAGCTGAAATCATCTCTTTCGTCGTAAAGTTTTGTTTTTAACAGACCCTAATTGTTCATTTCTAGATCTAAGTCAAGATATGTGGCAGACGTAACAGTATATGTTGTATCGTTTATGTTAAGTTCGGTGGGATAGATGCGTTCGACATCG